CCCCAAAACCCCAAAACCCCAAAACCCCGTCAATCTTTTATATAAAAAAGAGGTAACAATGAAATAAAATTGATTCTATCAAATTAATTATAACAATAAAATACATATATTGTTTAATCATGAGCGATAATAGAACTAATTTAGCTGCCATTGCTTACTAAAACATGTAACCATTATCCAATTCTCCAATGCCCATGCCCTCAATTTAAGGTAATTATTGCTTTACTAAAATATGTTTTAGCTCCATCATAAACTTACAAGCTTTCACCCCTACATTAGAAATCTCACTCTTAAAAGATCTCTTTTATCTAAAATGAATATTTTGGAAAAATTGGGTGGGGTGTAAAAAGTCCAAATCTTAATTCATCTCCACTAAGAGTCGTTATTGATGATTAGCCACACAAGCAATTTTTTGATAGAGAGAGAAATAATATGTTCACAAAAGTGCAGGGAGTGTTCTCAAACCACGTGGACAAAAAGCTTGGAATAAGTTTGGAGGCGTTCCACAATCTAGACATGCGAAGTCTGAGAATCTTAATAAAATAAAAAGTCTGGCAACAATAAAATAAAATGAAGCATGTATTTTTGAACAAGAGTCAGAGCAGATCTCAGACTACTGGAGGCAAATTGACTTATGACGACGGTAAAAAGGGCACATTTAATTATGCAAGTTCCAACTATGCCAATGGCTCTATAATAAGGACTCCAAATGCTCAAGACAAAGCTGACATCAACAATGATCTAGTATCGCCTAATATGATGAGTTCCTTTTTAGACAAAAGTTTAAATTACCCCAATAATACGAGAGCATCAATCAAAGAAGTAAATGCTGATTAGGAGAATGATTCCTATCTATTATCTTCACCCCTAGGTCATTTGCCAAAAAACACATCAATCAACACAAAGTATCGGATGCATTCAGTAGATTAAGTTAACTAATTGAACTTTGAAAATGAGTCTGAGATTAATCAAAGCAAGGTAAAGTGCCCCAAACTTATGAAAATGATAGATTCTTAATCAAAGAAACTTCAGGAGATGAAAACCCAAAGCTTAAAGAAGAAGAAATTCTATGATAACTAGCATCGCTAAGTCCTTCACAGATCTAATAACGTATCAATCGATTATTATGACTCAAAGCCAACTTAATATACTTAACAATTCGTCAGTTTCTCTAAAACCTAAGAGAGCCATAATCCTCTACCTTCACTAAAAAATAACAATAGCATCAATCATAGCAACGCAAATAGCAATAGCATTCAATATAGATCTAAGTAGGTCAATAAAAGTGGTGATCCAAGTGTAGATTTTAGGATACAACAGCAGAGATAAATTCCACATTAAATGATAAATAGCATGGTTAGTAATCCATATAATCAAGTGAGTGCCACTCAAGATACTAAAAGTTTGAAGAAAATTTTGCATGAAACATCAAATCAGAACTCTTAAGCCACGAATATAAGTCATTCATTCCTAAACAACTCAACTTAGAGAGATATGTATGAGATCTCTAGAGTATCATCAAAGGTTAATCATTTTGGGTCACTTCATGAAATTCAAGATGAAGAAATGGAAGGCTTTTAAAGTTGAATAAATTATAGTCCTTATTTATAAATTCATTCCGCTTTATTAAAAAGTGAAATTCTTGCTTCTACCAATTCTCATATATCTCCTTAGGATGGGGTTTTGGGGTTTTGGGGTTTTGGGG